AGTGGTACTGAGGTCAGAGTGCTGACATGTATGTAGTATTTACCTGTACTATGTACTCAATGGTGGAAAACTGCGGCATGAGTTCAGCAGGCTGGTTCACTTCTGATATGCCTGCGTAAGAGGGAGGGAACTGCAGAGACAAAGGGAAAACTGGGTAAACCAACCTGATAAAGGAATGTGGCTGGTCCACATTTAGATATTCATGGTCATTTAAGTTTATGTAATAATTATTATCAAATAGAAGAGTAAGGCTTTAGCATGCTGTGGACGTCAGTACTTACAGGGTTTCTCTGAAAGCAGAAGTTACACGCCCATATTTTTGCTCTGAAGTCCACTTGACTGTAAAAGAGGGATTCAAATGTTTGTATTCAATTGGCAGGTGTGTTTACAGTTCTCATATAACACACCTAGTACTTCTAAAACATCAATGGAAATGCTGACGTGTAAAATACACAGCACAAAATTTTAATATTTTAAATATACATAAATAGTTTAACAGAATTCCAATGTTTCCCTTGAGTTAATCTGTTTTCATTTGCCCTTTGATCGCACAGCTGGTTTTAGCCACCGTAATACACACATTATGACACATTACCTACACACACAACTATTGAAAGACTGCAATTCACATGTGTAAAAAAAGAGCACAATTATACACTGAGTCCAAAAGGATAGTGTTTTCTGGTGTCTGAAACTGAAAACAAACACTCAAATATACAATGCAACATCTGAAAACATGTTTTTTTTTTTATTTGACTCACCACAGTGGGTTAAGCACTGCCTTGCAGTTGGCCCGGCTGCACAGAACGGGCTCGTATTGGACCGGAGGCAGGTCGGGCCTCTCCTTGAGGGGTGTGAAGAGGCAGGAGACGGGGGCCACCAGCCTGGTAGCTTCCAGGCGGCTGGAGGGCCACAGGTTCCAGCTGAACCTAACCCCATCCCTGTCTTCATTCTGTTGGATGAACTCCTGGTAGGTCGCCATTACAGTGCTTCTGGAGAAAGAGCCCAATACACCACCAGATGAGGTTGTTGGTCCGATGGAATAAATAGATGTAGTGGTCTAAACGTGTGCCGCTGCTTCTATCTGTATCTTCACGCTAACTACTCACACTGGGTGCAGTGAACACCTTTATACAGGTACAACTTCATCTCCTGAGCTAAAATAAGACGCAGATGTAAGCATGACGCACAAACGTGTCATTGGGAAACCTGACAAGCATGTTCTGATGACAGAGAACAAAGCAGAGGAATCCTAGCATTCACAGGCTTCTCCTTCGCTAAAGGCGTCATTGATGTTCCACACATACCAAAAATACATCACCAGGAATCCTGTTGTAGCAACGGTTCACACTCCCTGTTTCTCACCATAATCAGAGGACTCTATACAACAACATTTATGGAAAGATGTAAATAAACTAATGTTGAAATCACTTGTCAGTCTGGCATAAGATGCTGTGAAAAATATGTTTGGCCAGACAACTGTTTTTGTATTCTAACTTCGTCAAACAAAGAACTACCTGTTCACTCTATTACATAAGAAAACATACTAATTGTGAGGGATATTTCATAATCCCACAGATCCTGACGTGACGCTGTCTGATAAGCAGTTCACAGTCCAAAGATTTTCTACTTACTATCACATGAGATGGAGAAAAAAAGCAAATTCTCACAAATAAGTATCTGGGACTTAAAAATGTTTGGCATAATTTCTCAAAAGAGTCGGTGAAAAAGCTGCTGATGTAGCACGTCGTTTTAACTCTAATGCTTTTGCAAATAGTTCCAACTTGTGGAAATAATTTCAATTAATCAAACAAACAAGAATAATGAAGACATTGCATGTGACGGTTACTCGGCCTGTGATAGGAGGAAAGGGATTTCATAGCACCTAGAGACAAAAACAATAATCTTGGATAAACACAGAATTGAGTCAGAGCCGAAGGCAATTGGTCCATCATAAGTAATGAGCAACCAGTTTGAGAACTTAGTAATTACATGTGCATTTTAATTCAAAGTTAACATTGTGCATCACTTGCTGTTTACTCTGACTCATAATAAAAAAGTGAATACCTTCGGGTTGTTGAGTGATGGTTGAGCAGATTAAGCAGTTTAAAGACATCACATTCTCTTTGAGAGGTTGAGTGGAAAATGAGTAAATAAATAATGATTGTTGTGTTGACGTGGATGTGACCTTTGATTGGTCGAATGAAGGATGCGTGTGGCGTTATTGGTTCTCTCATGTGGGGAATTGATTTCCCCGTTTTCACCATCACAGAATGCGAACAACTTGAATTTCTAATCTGATCCAGTAACAGAGAAGCATCCGTCGTTGTAGAAAACTTCAGGCAGTAAAATGACCCTGGTCCACCACACAGGCAACAGGCCACGTATGATCACTGAAGATGAACAGTGAGGGCTGCGGTCCTGAGCAGCTCCTCTACTCTCGTTTCATTCATGTAACATCGTTTAACGGTGTTAGCACCGTGTGGCTTCCTGCTACACTCGTTAATAAATGCTGGTTTCATGAATAGTGGTCAGTGGTCGCCTCGACGCTGCTCTGAGCCTCTTGAAGCTAAACGGCTACGTTGAATAGCAGCCGGTGCGTTAGCTAGCGGAATGTAGCATTGACCCGCTTCCTGTGCCCCCGTCAGCACGAAACCCGGCGGCCTACTTTCCAGTACACGTGAATTGGAGTTCTTACCTTTTACTTTATGTTCCCTCGGGAGTGGACAGTACAGACAGAGTAATCTGTTCAAAGAGAGCAGAGCATTTGGAGGGGAAGGCCGGCGGGTGTGGAGATGAAGGCAGAAGGACGACAGTCGGTGAGCGGATCACTCCCTCAGCCGCAGTCTGCACTTTACTACACTGACGTGTAACTCCACGGTCTCTCCGCTCCCATTGGCTCGTCTCTCTGTGACGTGTCTGCGCGCCCTGCATACGAACAGGAAGAGAGGGACCATGGGAGATGAAGTTCTTTCACTCAGCTTTCTTAACACGTAGGTCGATGCCGACGATGACGTCATTGATACTTTCGCTTGCGCGTCCTCTGACTGCTGATAGAAAATAATAAAGTAGAA